CAGGAGTGTGTCAAGCACATGCTGCAGGATCTTGGGAAGCTGCTCGCTGAGGCTTCTTGAGTCAGATTCGCTGTCTGATTGCAAAGTGAAAAACAACAATGATATGAATGATATGAATGAATGATAGGAACTGTTAGAGCTGGACACTGTTTCGAAACGACTTCATGCATTTTGCGGTGGAATCATGGCAAACATTGACTGTTCATGGCCGTTCAGTCAGTTCATGATTCAGAGGCTTCCCATCAACCATTGACCATCTTTCCAGGGGCTTCTGAGCGTGTTGGACCTTTGTTTTCTGTTTGCGGAGGTGTCTACATCGACAGACATGGCCGCAATAGATGTGGAGCAGCGCAAAGCTTTCTTCTCCTTCATCTCACTGCAGAAGCCAGCTGAGACAGATTCAGGCAAGTTCAGCTTTGGTATGCTTTGTAGCAGAGACACCTTCAAGCATGAGGAAACGTTGGTCCATTTGCAGCTCAACCTGTTCAATGCTTGGGTTGACAAATTGCGAATATTGCCAGTGGATGCCACCAAAGCCGTACTAACAAGCTTGCCAAATGCTCTTTGCCTTCTGGACGTTTTGAGGACTGTGGCTTTCAGTGTTTGATTTGCAACATGTTGATTGATGACGACTGTTTACTCAACTCATATTTGGAGCCAAGAGTCACCACATCACAATTCTTTGACACCAAACATACTCCTAGCATCACTAGAGTCAAATTGTGGAAAAATACAAATCATACAACTGGCCCAGCCATTCACTAGTTGACCTGTTTTGGTAGTGGCTACAGCTGGATTGTATAAATGTTGCAATCCAACCCCCGTTAGGATTCCAAAGCCAGTGGATGATCAAGGCCTTTTGGCCCTCAAAGCAAGCTCTTTTGAGAACAATACTGGTCTTTGCATCCGGGTGCTCATCGACCTTCAGAAGCTCTTTGGTTGCTTGGTGGTCATTGATGGCGAGACCAGGGGCCTTGATAGCTACTCCCCGTCTGAGAAGAATGACATGAAACTTCGAGTGGCAGATTCAGACAAGTATTCACCCAGACTGAACTTGGTCTTCCGGAGCAACTCTGCCCTCAAGACACTGAGTTCAAACGCCCAAGTTGTTGGATTATTTTTTGGTAATTTGGTACTGTTATATTAATGTCAAATCCGGTGTGTGAATGTGACCTTGATTTGATGCAACCTGCCTTGTCCTGGTCACATGATTTTGATTGTTGGCCCCAGGAAAATGTGGAGCAATGCTGTCAGTATCTCCAAGGCCGCCCTTTCCACTGAACAGGCCACATCCCTCGCCAAAGATCTCCTGACGAAAGGATCTACCCTTCGGGATACGCTGGCAGCTGATGGTGAGATTGTCTTCAATGAGGAAATGAAGAACATGCTTGCCTCTTGCAAAAACTTTCTGGATGTTTGCAGCGCACTTGGCAGTGAGGAGGAGGCAAACATGTCCATGAATGCCTTGATGACCGAAATCCGCTCACTGTGTGATGACAAGGCAAGTCCACAGAAGTTGGATGAACTCGTCAAGTGGTTGGAAGCGCAATGGGTGAGTCAGAGTCCAGATGGTGCTTCTGCTTCTGGCTTATCTGTGGTGCGTGTGGATGAGCTTGCAAGCTTGGCACGTTCTTTGACACTACGAGGACAGGAGTTTCCAAGTTTGATCACTGATTGCCCATCTCACCATTCAGTGATCAAACTGAATCAAACCGGCCCATGATTCATGCGTTCCTACCTAAAGCTTACCTTCACCCCGGTTAATTCCAAATTCCAGGTTTCAGAATTTCGAGATTCATTGAGTCAGAGTGTAGTTAGCTGCAAAGTTGAAGACTGTGCCAAAATCAGTCCACAAAGGCATCACTTCACCAAACGCACACACAGTTTGGAGGAGAGATCTTTGCAACCTTTCTGAAGGTTGACGCTGGTTTCTACACTGTCCTGGTCATGGTGCTCAGCAAGCTCCAGGAGTTTGCAAAAGACATGAGCCAAGCCAATGAGGTCTCAGGACTCCAAGCTGCAACCCGCTTTTGCGATGACCTTCGCAAGCAGACTCAGCAAATTTCTACTCCAGACGGTGGCCCTCATGGTTGGGTATCTGCCCTCAGATCAGCAATTGCCAGGCTTGACGAGGTCGTCCAGGTTACCGGACTTGCTCAGGTCAAGGCATTCTTGACCAAGGACAACATGGCAAAAGGCCGTGCACTCCTTAACGAGTTGAAGTTGGCGCCTGGCTCCAGGCTCTTTCTTGCCCAGGACATCCTGACGAATTCAGTGGCATTGAGGGATGCAGCAGCCACTCCACCAGAGGACTTGGCAACTTTGGTCAAGAATGTGGGATCGTTCATGACTCTTGCGCGGGTGGACTTGCCACTCCTACAAGAATTGCTCCCTTCGGACCATTCCATTGTCGTCAACTACCTCGACGCTGTCAGTGACCTTTTGAAGGTGGAAATGGACTCTGCTGGCAGCAGTGTCAAGGACCTTGAGCGTTTGGTTGCAAAGTACAGGCCGGCCATACTGACTCATTTCAAACTTTCCAAGTGTTACTGTCACTGTTGACATCTGTTGACTGTTGACCATAATTTATATACCAGGCCATACTATCATACCACATTCATATACTTACTGTTTTGTGACTGGTCGTCTGTCTTGTTTATTCTTTGGTTGCGGCTGTAGGCAATTTTTGTGAACCTGGACGGACCCTGCTTGAATGTTCGAGAGTTGTTGGTCAGTTCTTGCCAGATTTGAACTGACATGGAAACTGCTGTCCTAGTCGTTTCCCACCTTAACAGAATTCATGTAAGCCTTGTGCACTGGCAGGCCAATCATCAGTGCTGTTGAGTTTTGGCAGCCTGAGCAAATGGAGGCTGTGAGCTGGATGTTTTCTGGTGAGCAGGTGGTCGATGATGAAACAAGCACCATCGTGAATGAACGTGAAGACTTGATGCCCAAGGCTTCATCCTTCAAGACACTCTACCAGGGAAAGCCAGCTGTCAAACACTTTGACAAGCTGAATTCAGCCCTGCACAGTTTGGCTGCCACGGTGCAGAAGATTGAGGTACGTGATGTGTGAGAGTTTCTGTCAGGAATGCACTTAGAACTAGGCTAGGCTAGGTGACTTTCAGCTGATTGGTTGAGACCTCCAAGTCTCCAAAGGTCTCCAATTCTGTGTGCTTTTCTTCTAAGAACTGGTTTGCTCCACACCAGTGTTAATTGCAAATGTGTTTCATGGCATGGTCCATAGTCCATAGTTGTCACATGTTGTTCCCGTGCCTTCATTGAAGGCTCTCACCACTGAAGCTGGGATGGTTGTGGCCACCATGATGTGCGCAGACTTGGTGATCAATGAGAAGGACGTAGAAGGCACATTTGTTGAGGCCTACCGGAAGATTTGCTCGTGGATTGCGAAGAAGTTTGGCATCAGCCCTCCAGACCTTAAGCCCCTCCTGAAGACAAAGTTGGATGCGCTGTCAGTGAAGGCGTCCACGTTTCTTAGTTGTTGGTTGGCATCTTCAGTTTTCTTGCTTAGACTGGACTCGTTAAGATTCGTTAAGTAAAAACTCTGCTACAGGTTTGGTGGAATTGATAAGGTTAACTCGAATCACTGACAGTGGTTTCATTGTAAAACACAAGTTCCGGTTCCGGTGCTTCTTCACCAGCCAATCATTGTTTTGGTTTTAGTCTGAGTCTTTGTCATTTGTTTGCTGCTGGACCTGACCTTACTGAGGAAGGGAGACAAGGGAAAGCCTGAGGGAGGCAAGCCAAGCAAATCATCTGGCAGCAAGGCCGCCAAAAGTGAGAAAAGGACAGCAGAAAAAAAAGAACAAGGCTGAACCTTCTGCCAAGAAAGCCAAAAAATAGTGGCTCATCCAGTCAAAGGGGACTGGTTTGATTTTGATGGGGTCTTACCAAGAGGACTAGAGTTCCAGCTATGACCTTGCCACCTCACCGGATTCCAAAGAGCAAAACCAATGGTTTGGAAAGTTTAGAGTTTGGACACAGCTGGGATCCCCTCTTGGCGCAACTTGAAAGGTTGCCAAACGGTAGGCCAGGCCAAATATTTTGGAACTGGTAAAGTGACAAAACCAGTGAGACAACGCGAGGAAAATGCTGAATTCATGTGCGTGTGTCAGCTCAATGGGACTTTTGGGAGTGTGAAGAAACCACAGAGTTGGTACAGGCAGGGTTACTCCTTGATGTTTTGCTCGGAAATGTGTTTTGAGTTTCTGTCTCAAATAGTTCACCTTTCATAATATTAGTAATTAGTTTCTGCAAGTTTTGAATAATTCAGCAATTGGTTTCAAATGGCCTGATCTGGCCTTACCGCATTAGCAATTGGTTTCTGGAAATTAGCAATTAGTCTCAGGTATGTCCCAACCTCCCCACAGACAAAGAGGCCAACCCAGGCCACAAGATATATATATATATATATAAATATCGATGGATCATATTCGTTTCAGCATTGAGAAACGCTTTCTTAAGACCTCTATCTGTGTCTTGATGCTGAATGGTGTCGACAGTGCGGGCCTCCACCATAATCACCATGGTTAAAACAAACAAACTCAGCTAGCTGAAGTGACCCTTTCTTGACCCACATCGCCATCTAAGTCCTATTCCCAATCTGAAGAGTGTCACTATGGTCATCAGTGCTTCCAATGTTCCTCTTCTGCACCTAGTAGCGTCCTTGCTCCTAGTATAGCGATGCCCTTTGTTCCGTTCGTAGTGTTCTTGTTCCTCCCAGCCTGGAGGCCGGCTTCGGGCTCTCCATCCACCACCCTTCAAAGCCTTCGCGGCCTTCCAGGCGGAGCCTGCCGTGGCACCGGCATACCCACAGCGGAGGTCGAACAACAAAGGAATTGACCTGCGAACTGGTGTAGGGAGGGCTGGACCATGAGCGTCCCTCCCAACCAATCTGTTTTCCTTGCTGTGGAGGGCCTCTCCATCTACCAATTTCAAAGCCCATCTAACAAGACCTTCGGTCCGCTGCGGCCCCAGTCCTGTAGTTGTACCTCTCCACCCATTTGTATGAATAAGGGTTCGTCAACGTGTCGTTGGTGAAGGCAATGGCCTCGAAACCGGAGGTTGAAGCCACGTTCCCAGACACACTGGCCGTTTGATGTGGTCACCAAAAAGGTATAAAGTTCGCCATCGTCCATGCATGTTTGTATGCGCACATTGACATCCTCAAAAAAAATAAATAAAGCTACTGTCTTTTAGTGGCTATATGTTAATATGGTATTCTACGACCCTAAGATTGAACAACTGCTCTATTTCAAGGCAAAGTCACATAGAAATAGTTGTTGTTGATCTCATCAGCGTAAGGTGACTGAGGAGGAGTCTCCACTGTGTCACAAACCCCCTCCAATGGATCAGCAATAACCTGGTGTTTCTTGTCCTTCGAGACCAATGTAGAATGCTGCAGCAAGCTCTGCTGGATGTTCTGCTCACAAGCTTCAGAGCTACCTGAACACTCATACAACAGATTACAACAGTTGCACCAATGGACACGAGGAGAAAACCACTAGCCATTTGACTTAAAAATGCTTGGGACAAAAAACACACATACACACACATCGTCTCATATGGTCTCCAAATGCCGACGAATGAACGAGATACGAGTCCTGTGAACTCGTAACTAAGGACGACGACGGGAACCCCTGCACGCAGTAACTCTCCGCCTTTCAACAACCTGCCGGACACTTTTCCAAAATTGGCTCTCCAGTAACTTGCCAGTAACCCTCCCAATTACTTTAGTTTGGCAAACCTACTTCAGCAAGCGTTTTTACAATGGCTAAGCGCCCTCTTCCCTTTCTTCGCCATTCGCACCCTTCAATTCACCTCCTACAGTATGGTCCTATTGCCTCTTCAATCTTCCCCTTTCTTCCAAAACCACAACAAAAACTCCACACAAACAAACAACATATCAAAACACCTTTGCCCATTCAGGGAAACCCATGAGTTAAAGCATCATAATGCCAAATTGGTTACCAAATCCACTGAGTTTCGGCCCAATTCTCCTTCTGCACCACCTCTGTTGACACTTAATGCTTCCTGCACCCAGCTCCCCCCAAATCATCCAGAATCTCAAAACCACCCCAAGAAACTCTTTCTCACAATTCAATTGCTTATACAACCCTTCCCCATGAGGAGATTTAGTCTTCAATCTTTTTCTCATGATTGACCACCCCCTGAATAGTCTATTGTTTGCTTCCAAAACCTTCTGGCCTTCTGTTGTTTATCTATCATGAGTCGACACTGTTGATGATGTGTACATTTGTCCAAATTCTGTCCAATTGCAAACAGGCAGTGCATTCCGACATAGTGTATGCGCAGTACAGTATATCGCCTGTAGATGTTGTGTTACTCCACCATCTTTTTTGCACCGATGAGTAAGAACATTGTTTTTTTTTAAATCTACTCAGGAATGATGGACATTTCGAACACCTACCTACCTGGACCTTCAAGGGGTGTCCAATGAAGATCCCTTGGAGTAGTGTAGGGGCTTCCAGCCAGGTGACCCCTTTGAAGGTGCTGGTGCATGCGCGATAATTATGTTGTATTTAAATGTATTTAATGTTAGTTTTGTTTGACATGAAGGAATCGTTGATACACCATCCAAGTATATGATGCGTGTGTGTCATATGTTCAACAAGTGAGATACACTCCTGAGAAGGAGCCCTCTCAAACTGTTTGTAACGAATGAACATTATACTTGTCTTATTGAGTGGCAGGTTCCCAATTGGTCCAAAAATAGTGTGCATGCATAACCTAACAAGTACACGTACACTCCAAACCACATGAAAATTACACAAACCTAACAAGAACAAACATCTTTGCAAAGCAAAGGAATGGTCACAGTCCACGCTGTCTGAGAGCTTTGCTGCAGCCCAAAGTGGCCAGCTCAAGCAGGACACGACCACTGCCGCGCGCAGTGTCATCAGCGTCGGTTCGGTTTGGATGAACGACTGTCTCGTTCGAGCCCGTCGTCGCAGTCACCGACAGGATCCATTGAGAAACACCAATCAGCTCTAAACCGCCACGGACAAAACAAACAGATCTAATCTAACAGTTTACGATAGTTTAACAGTGAACCTGCTGAAAAGCTGGACATCTCTTGATTGTCTCCCTGTGAACCTCTAAACTATAGGCTCAATGTATCATGACACCCTCGCCCCTTTCCATCGAGAATCTCTGGAGCGAAAACATCATTGAGAGACGTGCCAAACGATTACAGTCAGCGCTTCTCTTCATTTGCTCTTTTTTCGGTGCAAGGCTGGCCGACATCAATGAACACCTACAATTCGCCACAGCGCAAATCAGCCAAAGCTCAACTTTCGCCCAAACCAATGGCCAAGGCATGTGGACGTCACATCTGATCCTCAATTTGCTCACCAGGGGCATGGCAGGTCATGTGGGCCGCTCTTCACAGCTGTGAGGGGAAACTTCTCCAAGCCGCCACCACGCGCTTTGATGAGGCTCCAGGCATAGGGGATCAGGTCAGGGTCAAATGGGCCGCCTCCCCATAAGACCTCGTTGCCCACCTAAGCACACAAGGGTGTGGCTGTCGGTCTTGTAATGGCTGTGAAGAAATTAGAGTGTACGCATGTATGTCACAGCAATCGGGTATACTATATAATATATATATAATATTTAATTTGTACTAATATGCTCTATATTCTGTACATATGTTTTTATGTCAATGCTATATCACTACTGCTCTATGAGTTTATATGCCAGTCTATAGTCTATGCATGTCTCTGGCTTGGTCGTTCCACACATTCTGTGCACAACGAGTCGCCATCGAGGTTACGCAGGACCAGTTGATGAGCAGTGGATATCCCTTCCATATTTCTGCATGCCACTGAGACGACCTCGCTAGCCAACATGTTCGTTGAGAGGAGGTCTTTGCCCGGGCGATGAAACAGGTGAGAGGAAACACACATAAATGACAAGGACAATATTTTCACCGAGCAAAGAACACAAACACTACCTTTCCAATCTTTCAAAATCAATCCGCCAACAGAAAGTCGCTTGAGGAACAAACCTAAGGAGTGCAAACAAGAATATCGTACACGGTAGACTCGGTGCGTTTGACGGGAGCGTCTTTAAGACTCGGTCGACTGTTTCCCACGGAACACAGGTCGGTCGTGTTCGGCGCGCGTGTCTTGGCTCGACGAGTGTGACAGGTCCGGGCTCACGGATGAAGCCCTTCGATTCGTGGAATGGACAACGGAACTGAAACCACGGGAGATTCAGGGACCTTAACCACGAGGGCTGTGACTAAACCACGACCAGGTTAAGCTGGTCGTGGTTAAATGCTAGTTTCCAATGAAGTCATATCAGAAGAGCTGTCCGGTTTGCTGCAGGGTTCTTGTGTCGGGGCCGGGTGGTCCCAGGAGCCACTAGCAGCTGCTGAAAGGGCCCGCCCAATATGGCAAACCCGTGGGCTTGGCGAAGCCGCAGATGACCCAATCACTTGCAATCCTGCCTAAACACCATCTGACTCTGAAGACTTGATCCCTGCATGGATCAGTTGGAAGTTGTACAGCAAACAAGACGAATTCTCCACCGGGAGTCTGGCAGTGGCGCTGTTTGCACAACTCCTTGTCAAGGGCCTTCAAAGCGACTGCCTCTGTTTGTGTGCTGTTCGCCGAGAAATCGAAGTAGCTCCACCTGGCAGTTGTGCCAGGGGCGAAAACGACACCAAAGGCAACACAGCGGGTGGATCTATGCCTGGTTTCCTGGGAGATGGGCCATGGCTGGAAATCCTTAGAAACGCCGCATTTGGCTCAATTCTGTAATGTGTCCAGTGGTTAGACACGTCAGTGATTTGAAGTCTTGCGTCGTCTTGGCCTCGCACCAACGCGGTTTTTCTCTGTCAAATTCCAATTGAACTGGGTCACGAGTTGCTTTGGCGAATCCCCTGATGGTCAAATGCGCCAACAAAAACATCAAGTACCGATATGCCAAATGCCAGCCGCCCACATGCCAACGAACCCCAACTTCAGCAGCCCCCTTCTTCTTAACAGCGATCCGCGAGTCTGACGGGTCGGCACCGTGTGGACCCGTGGACCTGCGGTGGACCCATGGACCTTTGAGATCCTGTGAGCAACCAAGTGATGATGCCGACCACGTTCAGTTTCCGTGGAACATAATCCCGAGTACCTATTAAAAAACGGACCCCAATTAAAAAAAAAGTCATGCCGGATCCCCTAAATTCGGTTTATATTTGGTTTTAAATTGCCGCCCTTTCAAACCGCTACTAAACTACCAACATGGTCGATTTTGGGGGTAGTTTTTTTAATTAGGTTCCCCAAAACTCCACCATGACACGCCGCGCTTACACCAGCAGGCTTTCCTTCCCTCAATGGCACGGACTCACGCAAACGCACTTGCCACCGAGGTCATGCAACACCGCATGGCACAGCGACATCACCTTTCGAAAGCTTTAGCTGTTAGTCTACTGAAGAATCACTATTCTAATGAAGGTTTTTGTAGGGGAAAAGGAAGACCCTTCGATCTGGCGGTTTTTTGCATTTTTGATATGAGTTTAATAAGGGATTTTATATAAAATTTTCCTGGATTACTTTTTGGTTTTGAAACTCTTTCCAGGTGACCCTATTTTGGGCCCCCGATTTCAGGGACCCCCTATTAGAAAAAATGCGACCGAGGTTTCCTTATTAGGGGGGGGGGGGGTACGTGTTTTTTATTAGGTGGACCGGATTACTGGTTCACCTGCTTCATCCAATTCAACGGGGTGTCTGAGAGTCAGCTGCTAGAGTGTCCCAAATCTCCCCCCAAAAAGACTTGGGGCAGGTGATCCGCGTACTGGTCAACCAGTTGGATCACCGACCCCCTCAGCCAGGCTTGCCCGCCGCGTCTGGGTGGCGTTTCGGTACGCCCGTTTCACTCTGGTAGGTTGACCTCCGTAGGCTCTTCTGTTCATTTGGGGTGGGACAAACCAGTGACACTGCCTGGTTGACCTCCATCGTCTCTCCGCCTGGTGGCCGGGTCTTCGTTCTCCATCCACCACGCTTCCCAGGACCAGCGCCCCTCCATGACGATCCTGCTGCCGGACGACTGCCCAATAGATCGCCCGAACCGATTGA